TACTGTAAACTTTCTTTTGGTAAGATGTTTTCTCTATAATAAAAAAGATTAATGAAAAGATTTTGGCTTTCTCATATGCAAACTATTTCTAAAATAATACAATATCAAATGAGTACAGGAATGAGTCTATCACTAATGCCAATCTATGGATTGTCTTTGTAAATCAAGGTTTCAAAATAGTCTCAAATAAAACTATTTCTTCAAGTTTACTTTTAAGGTCAATGACAGTAACAGTTATTAACTCTTCACCAGGTTCAAGATACTTTTCTAAGTATTAATGTGATTTAAATCTTAAAACAACCCCTGTATTAACCTAGGGTCAAGAGTTACTTGAAAAACTAAGACACAGAGAAATCAAGAATCTTTCTCAGAGTCATTCTGTTACTATGTAACAGATCAGAGATTTGAACACAGACTGCCAAAATGCAATGTCTACATGCAAATTACTCTATTATATTGAGGGAGCCTCTGTCCCATGTGAAGATGCAGGATAAAAACAGATTAATTGTTAGAGCAATGATTCTAAAACTGGAAGATAGAAGTACTTTAATTAGTATACAAATGTTGATAAATATTATTTTTTTCTGACGTCAGATCTTTATCTGCATGTGTGGGGTACCATGCGTTGCAATCCTACCTGCCATGTTCTTATAAGGGGAAATGTTGGTGATAAACATTGGCACTGACTTCGTCTAGTCCCCTCTTTCCTCCACCTACTAAAATGTATCATCTATACTCTACTTCTTTGCCACCGTACTTGCTAGGATTATCCACTATGCTTTTCTCCTCTGTCTATTCTCTAGGCACACTGTCCAATAAAAAGTGGCACCTAGCCACATGCTGCTATTAAAAATTAAATTTATTATCATTAAATAAAAAACTTAGTTTCTTAGTCACACCCCATATCAAGTGCCGAATAGAAAGATGTGGCTAGTGACTACCGTTTTGAAGAGTGGAGATGTGGATATCATCACAGTATCTTCTGGGGTAACAGAAACTTGTATTGGGTAATACTACTCTATAGTGAAATTCGCTCAAATCACTGTCTCACTTTCAGTAGATGGGATAAAAAGGCCTGGAGAAAACAAACTCACATCACTTTGACTAGGAGAAATAGTACCAAACCACAATTCCCCTTTATATGGATGTAACTACCAGAGTACCTCTCTCTAATTTTTACTGAATTGCGGAACTGTGTCTCCAACTGACAATTGCAAAATTCTGTCTCTCATAACACCTCATATTTATTCTATCTAAATCTAAACACATTATTTTCTACCCAGAAAACCCAATTTTCCTCTACTATATGATTGATTATATTAGTGCCAGTCACCCATGGGAAAATCCGGGTGTCTTCTTTGATCTCCTGTTCTTCTTTACCCTCTAGATCCAAATGTCCACTAAATGCAATCTACTCTACCATCTAACTATATCCCAAGTCCATTGCCAAATTTTAGCCCCACTACCTGGAGTCATCATCAGCTCCTATTTGAGTCCATGCCACTGTCCTTCCTGTGCCTAAATTCTGCTCATCCTTCAGAATCATTTTTAATATAATCATATTAATGAAACCTGCTCTTAGTATTTAGTACAACAATATCTGCCACACGGCAGACGCTTAGTAAGTTGTTGTATGAACTAGTCATGTCAATATGAGGTTTATAAATTTTCAGTGGTCCCTTAAAACTTTTCCTGTTTGTATCTTAAGTGCCTAGCCTGGCACATAGTAGATAAATAGCTGAATTAATTGAGTGATTAAATGAATGAATGAATGAATATAATTTGCAAAAGTCAAACAAAGAGGTAGGTACAATGCAACATATTTAGCCTGCATCTCAGTGTTACTTAGGTTTTATTCACATTTGAAAAGTTCCAAAAATATTTTTATGCAGGCTTACAGGAATATTCAAACATGTTTGATGAGTTAATCTTTACTTTTTCTAGTGTTGAAAGAGAATGGAACTCTTAATAAAATGTGTCTAGTAATTTCACATTTCTTTCAGGTTCTGGAGTGAACAGCAAACCACCCATCAAAACTATTACCGCGAAGAACAGGACAAACTAGCTTCCATCCTCTATTAACTCTAAAGACATAGTCAAGTACAAAGAGATGTGGTCTCAAAAGCTTTATTCATAATCTTCACTAAAAAAAGTTTTTTCTCATATATCAAGCAAGTGTGCAATACAATAATAATTTAATCCTTTTTATTAACACCTTCAATCTGTTATTATTAATACTACTGCCATCATCTTTCTCTGTAGATTTTGGCAAAAAAA